ATTTTACCGTCATCAATATTTCAATTTTTCAAAAAAAAACCAAAAAATTATATCTTAACAAGTGTAAACATCGTAAATGTAGTCAATAAGTCTATAATATCTCATTATGAGACTGTTGTAAGAATATTGTGAGATTATTTAACTTATTTCTAGACATTTTTACTTGTTTTTAATCAGTTTTATCTTATAAAAGTGTCTTATTTCATTGACAGACCATGTTCCTCGTTTTAATCATTATTTCTTGAAATGAGCAAAATTATCTTCATTATTTCTCGAAACAAGTAAACTAATCTGCCAATGGAATAAGACACTTTCACCAGATAAAATCACTTAAAACAAGTAAAAATGTACAGAAACAGGTGGAATAATCTTATAATATTCTTACAACAGACTCATAATGAGAGATATTAGATTTATTCACTACATTTAAGATGTTTGCACTTCTTAATATAATATTTTTTGCAGTGTAGGTTCACTGGTGGTTTTGGATAGTTAATAAAATGTCTATATTTGTGTTGTCATGGCGACCCCTGGTTCCTATCACCACCACTGTAAGAAACTGTAAGAAAACTGAACCATTTCACACCAAACCACTCTGAATCTCTCTGATTATTGATGTTTATTATGCAGATCTTCTGAAAACTAGTGGAACGTCATGTTGTTCTGCAGTTTTTGAGACGGTGTTTGTGTCCTGGTCCAGCACACGGCCTTCGTCTCAGGTTCCTGCCTCTGTTCCCAGGACCTGAAGGCTAAATGACTTTTTTACGGCACAGATGAGGCCTTTTCAGACCGGCTCAGACTTTCTTTTGTATGTGTGAGGAGCGTTTCTCCATGCTCTGCCCCACTCTGTAATTGATTTCTATCTGCTCTGAAGATTAAAACTGAAGTGCTCAGGATCAGAGGAGCTGCTGTTATCAAATTTAGCCTCCAGCCAGTGAAAGTTATCCACTTTTTTTTGTTCTTTTAAACGATTTAAACAGATTGTTTTGGATTTAGTTCTTGCGTTTCTGATTTTTTAATCTGATCGTTTTATTAAAATGGCAGATGGAAGAGAAACGTGTGTCACACACCTCTCAGAATGTAAACAGCGTTAATAGTTTAGTAGGTCAAGCTTAAAGTGGACGTAATGGGTTTCCCTATGGACCGAGAATGAAACCATCTGCATGAATCACACATCACTGAGACGTGGTTAATAAAGCATTCACTAAACTGATTTATCCACACACCCCCGAGATATTTACCATCAAACCAGGTTGGACTTTAAAAAATGACTGTTTTATACATTTTAGGCTGTCGTCATCTTTAGATGGCATTTTGATGTCTTATTAAAACTCAGAGCCCCTCAGAGACCCCGGTGTCCCCTCTGCACAGGCCATAGTTAAAGGAATAATTCGGTGAAAAATCTAATTTGCATTTTTCCTCTTACTGCAGACGTAGGAAATGCCAATTTATGCTTATTTAGTTTAGCACTGGACCTACGAGACTAATGTTGCTAATAGAAGTCAATAGTCACCCAAATCTTTCCTCTAAGTTCATCCCCAACACTTCCCTCAACACACTCAAACCGCATCCAGGTCTTCATTAAGGCGGCACAGACTTGTCAGTGTGGTTCAGGACACAGTATGACTTACTGTGAGCTATAAACATGAACAACACTTGACTGCGTAGCTGAACGCCGTGGGCAGACACTTTAGACATCAGCGGCCGTGTTACAGAAACTTCCTATCTTTTTGTCTTAAGATCTGACAGGTCAAGATAAGATTTTCACAAATCCGTATTACAGAACAAATCTTATCTTATCTTACAGCATCTTTTCTTATCTCAAGTTAGGAAATCTTAACTTACTCGATTGAAGTCGACAATCAACTGTCATGTCTGTTACCTAGCAACCGACCATACAGCACAGCTGAAACATAAACATGTAATCTAGTTAGTTAGCCAGACAGCTAACGTTAGCTACTGTTACTGATGTAAAAAAAAAGGCAAATAAAACTAAAGTGTGATAAACTGAGAGTTAAGAATATAGTGAGAGCGCCCTCTGCTGTTTATCAGAGTCACTGCCCCATAGTTTCAGTCTCCATTTCCCAAACGCTTTAGCCGAGCGCGCTAACGTTACTCCTCCTAATAAACAGACACACGTTCAGCTCCATCTCCTCATTATTCACCACCATCGCAGTAATATTTGGTGGAGATCAAGTCTGCAGCGTCTGGGCTTTTAAACGCTGTTAGAAAAAACTCACAACTCAAAGCACCGTTTTCAGTGTAGATAAATGTGGAGTCATTATGCTGGTTATAGTGAACTGTGCTGCCTGTCACAGCACAAAAACAACTGTTTATGTACAGTAAAATAAGTTATAAAATAAGAGCTATGATATGTATGGTTGTACACTTTCCATATATGCAATATGTGAGTCTAAGGTAGATAAATGAGATGCTTGGTACACTTATATAGCATTTTATTTATTTATTTTTTTGACGTTTTTCAGTCTTTTATATAATTTGAAAATGCCTGTTACTCTTTACATTGTATGTAAATTTCATGACAAATGGACTAAAAGAATTGACCAAAAATGGCTCGTAAAAAAGTCTGGTTCCATTGACTTACATTAAAAGTAAAGTATGTTTTTTCCTTCTCCTGTAAAGTTACCATATTGGAGATAAAAGGTTTTCTTCCAACAACAGCGATGTGTATATATATATATATATACATATGTATATATATATATATACTAAATTACAAGATATGGATAGAAAATGTACAGGATGCCAATCTGTATGTGCAGGTATAGAATTGCTAGATTCAAGCTATAGTAAGAGTCTGAACACACTACAAAGCTAGCAATGTAGCAAGTGTTTACAGCAGACTCCAGAGTCCACACAGAGAAGAGCTGTGGTGTTTCAGGGTGAGGCGAGGAAAAGGGGGTCATGAAACCCAAAAACGCTGTTCTACTGTGCGCTGCCCCCCAGAACCATTGGCAAGCTGCCAGTAGTTGGTACAGCAGATTTGCTTAGTAACCAGGTTTCTTAGCAGCCTGTTACATACATTTTCATGTGAACGCACTGCTAACACCACTCTCAGTTCAGCCTCGGTATAACTTCGGTGCAACTGGTGCAAAGTCCTCTCTGAAAACTGGTCTTAGCTACAGCCTGCTTAGCAGTTAAAGGGGAACTCCACCAATTTTTCAAAAGTTCTTCATAATTAAGTGGTTAAGATGTAAACGGAGTGGTTCAGAGTGGTTTGGTGTGAAACGCTCTGTTCTAGAGAAACTTAGAGTCAATCGTTCACAGTGGTGGTGATAGGAACCAGACGTCTGAGGAGTTTAATGATTCTTAAAATTACATCACAAATAGTTTAATTACAGGAAATGGTTATGAATGCACTCCCTGATGTCTGGCACATTGTTTTATGATAGTTTTGTGATAAAGTTTTGGCTTAAAGTGTTAAGCCATTTATTTGAAACTTTTCATGGTGGAGGGATACATGAGGCAAAATAGTCCCCAAAGAAAACTTGGTAACACTTTCTATGAATGTCACCTTTGTAAGCATCTATAAACACATTTATAACATGTTATAATGTATTCATAAGGCATTATAAACATATACATTTTTATAAAAAAGAACTACACTGAATTACACTTTATAGCCATGTTTATTATACATTATGAATTGTTAATATAATGCATTATAAATAGTGTTAATAACGTTATAATGTCAGTGCCAAAGAAGTCAGTCCCAGCTTGGAGACTGCAAAGTAAAGACAAATACCAAGCTAACGGTGGTGAACATTACCTTTCCCACATTGGGTAAAACACTGATGGCAGCTCTAGTTTAAACTCTGACATTTGAAGCCTGTAATGTGCTTTACTGTCAATGTTTTAGTGTTTCAGTAAATCCTTCAGTAAATACTTCAACTTGAAGCCTCACTCTGAACACTGGAGGAGGCTTTAGTACAGTACGCTTCACTTTACTTAGAGCGGACAAATACGACTTATGAGCTCTTATAATTTGTTATGATCAGTACTTATAATGTATTATGTTAATTCATTATGCATAATAAACATGGCTATAATGTATAATGCATTTTTATAAATATTTATAGCTATGTTTATAATGTCTTATGAATGCATTATAACATGTTATGAACGCGTTTATAGATGCGTACAAAGGTGACATTCATAGAAAGTGTTACCAAAAACGTATTATTTCAGAAGGGTCAGTGATATTCTGTCTATCTTTACCACCAAGTACACCGTCAAATGCATCATCATCACAAAATTGAGTAACAGTTTGATGGGGTTAATCAGTGTTAGCTTCACATTAGCTTAAGTCAGTGATGCACAACTCCAGTCCTGGTGTCAGTTCTTCTACTCAAATACACCTTTTAAATCTGGCAATTAACAGATGAGATCAATCAGGTGGTTTTGAGCAGGTAAAACACCAAACGGCCCTCCAGGACTCAAATTGTGCACCTCTGGCTTAAGATATGTGAGCCCTGCTAATGTCCTGCTGTTAACAGCATTCAGTGTTGAGCTACAGCAGAAGAGATCTAGACATAAATAGTTGCATAAGTCAATCATCAATCAGTGTCAGTTATCAGTGGTGAACACTGTGAAGTGATCAGAGCTGCAGAGCTCCTCCTCCTCCTGACTGTCCAGCTGTGTCAGACTGATGAGCTCAGACTCTGGTAGTGTTATGAGGAGATGCTGAAAGCTCCTCCTGTTTATTCTCTCAGTTGAAGATCTTCCTCAGCTGGAGCTCTTCAGCCTCTTTCCCCTCATGGCGTCGGACAGCCGGGATGCTAAAAAAGCTCACAGTGTTTCGTTTACTGTTGCTGGTGTTACTAAAGCCGTGAAGCAGCGGCTCAGCATGGCTTTACTTCAACTGTCAGGATGCTTTATTAACTAACGCTTGACCGGTGGTTTGTCAACAAGTGTGACGTCATTTGATCTATAATCCTGTGTTACATGAATTCTCTTAACTGTCTGATTTCTGCTCCCAGCGCATTCCCGATCCAACCCCAAGATGATGTCTCCCAAAGAGAAACCCAAGAAGCCGCCCAAAGACAGTATGACGCTGCTGCCTTGCTTCTACTTTGTGGAGGTAGGAGCTGAATTTTGAGTTTTTTGGGGTGAAGAACTTCTGTAAGATAGTATTTGACCTGCAGGCGGTTTGGTCAGTGAAATGCTTTACAGACTAACTGGGCAAAACAACATTCAGGTTCATCTGGCAAACAGTGATAAAGCTGAGCTGAACCTGCGACTGAATCACAGCCGTGATGCTCACGATAATGTGTTCCCTCTTGTGTTGTATGGCTTAAAAAGCACACTTGATGTAATTTCACACCAGACTCCGAAAAATGATATCTTAGTGAGAGTAAACATCTTAAATGTAGTCAATATATCTAATATTCCTCATTATGAGACTGTTGTTAGAATATTGTGATTATTTAAATTATTTCTAGACATTTTTACTTGTTTTTAAGCAGTTTGATCTTATAAAAGTGTCTTATTTCATTGGCAGACCATGTTCCTTGTTTTAATCATTATTTCTTGAAATGAGCAAAATTATCTTCATTATTTCTCTAAACAAGTAAACTAATCTGCCAATGGAATAAGACACTTTCACCAGATAAAATCACTTAAAACAAGTAAAAATGTACAGAAACAGGTGGAATAATCTTATAATATTCTTACAACAGTCTCATAATGAGAGATGTTAGATTTATTGACTACATTTAAGACGTTTACACTTGATAGGATATTATATTTTTTGCAGTACAGTGTTCTATCGGTTACAACAGTATTGCAAAATGAAGAAAAAGTAAAGCAAGCAAGCCCTGAAAAATTGTACTGAATATTTAAATATTGTCAGATTATTCCACTAAAAAGTAGTTCCAGCAGCGTAGAGTGTTGTTGCTTAGCGACCAGTGGTCAGTGGAATGACACAGTTATGGTAACATATTCAAATTGATTCTCTATCAGAGTAATCAGATTGTACAGTAAATCAATTCATGATGCCCATATTAGCAACTCCAGATCTAAGTTGTTTCTTCTTTATGAGAAAAATGAACAGCATTTTCAAAAATTGCCTCCATCATGTACTGAGATAAAGAAAACTACCCCAAAGCTGATATATGTACCTTTTCTCCTCGACCGTCACTGGATTCTCTGAATTAGGAGGTTGTTTAGCAGTTATAACACTAGTCTACATACTACAAGCACACTAACTCTTCTGAAATGACGTCACATGAGAAAAAGTCTGCTAATAAACTTGTTTAATACCAACACCAGTTACTCCTAATGTGCTCTACTGCTGCCAAAGCCTCTTAAGGTCAATCTCAAATCAAAATGGACATTTTTACCATGTTAGTTTATGTACTTGGTCATTTAAAGCACAATCAATTGTGTCGTATCATTCAAACGATGAAATTCTCTTCTCTCTGTAATCTTTGATCGAAGTGTAGTGCCTCTAAATGGCATCTAATGTTTGGCCATGTCACCACAGAGAGTGGACACTAAAAGCCTAGGCTGCTAAATGGCGCTTTGCCTCGTCTATTTCTTAAAAAGTACCTGACTTTCCTCCAAAACAGAGGTAAAAATATATATAAAAATAATATAAAGAAAGATCTGACCTTTCTAATAAATTAAGCACAATAAAGGCCCATTTGTGCTTTCTTTAGAGTGGAGTTTGTATTTTTCTATTTTATTTATACATTATAAAAAAAACCTGCAGCAGCCTTGAACTGTTTAACACTATATTTCAATACACGCCATTATAAATAAGGTGCAGGTACATTTTTCATTAATCAAGGTACAACAGTGTTCCCTTTGTTCCCTCAAAGCTCCAACAGTGGTTTTAAGGTCTGATTGTGAACCTTAAATAAGTTTTTCCGGGTGAAAAGTTCATATTTGTACCTTTTCATAACCGAATGTTTAAACAGAACAGTAAAATAAAAGCCTGGAGACGAGACGGGGTGTGTGGAGTCAGTACAGCTTAGAACATATCATTTCAGTGGATTATGGTTCAGTTATGTTCCCTGACTAAAGGTACTGAGATGGACCCTTGAGGGTTCCACCCCAGTGACCAGAGGGGAACTGACCCAGTGACGGTTATTTCTGAGAGTGCAGTGAGCTAAATTCAGAGGACCTGGTGATGCCCATAGGGGGAAAATATCTGTACAACGAAATGTATCAGCTTTTACGTACCACAGATAGCAGTGATTTTCCAAAACACCATGTATTTTTTTCCATAGCGAAAACCAGCTCAGACCTGGGATTCATAATATAGGCATGATGCTGACTACAGAATGACGACATCAGAGCCACTCATGGCATCATGATGTGTTACGGTTAAGGGATGTCGTTAGGCACAGTTCTTTTTAATGCACCAAAGTTTAAGAAATCAATACTTGCAAAACAATTTTTCTGCCACTCAGTGTGTGTTAAGAGTAGGTCATGGATGCTATAAACAGCACACCAGCTTAATTACTTTTCTTATTAATACAGATTGAAGTTGTTTTGAGGTGGTCATATGTGCGTATATCAAGTATTTTTCATCGGACGACTCTGGTGCTATTCATTTCATAGGTCTGATCAGAGATATACACCTGTATTTGTCACGTTAGTAGTGCAAGACAGAGCGGCTGTGACTCGCAAGTGAGATCCTGGTTGATTTGAATGAATATTTGGCAGCTAACATGCTAATTTATTCACATTTACTGGGTCAGGAGCTCAGACCTCCTCCCCGATGCTCTGAGCATGCTCGTGGATAATGGAAGGTGATGGGAAGCGGTTGTGTGTTTTTATTAGGAAGAGTTTAATGAGATTAAATGGAATTACAGACCGGATTAAGGAGACTTAAGTAGCTATCGGACGTATTCGGCCTGATTAAGAGTTAATGAACGCACTTTAGCTGAAGTAGGCATGCATTAAATGAGAGAAACAGTAAATGGTTCATTCAGAAAAACCCATTTTCACTCTGTTAGGTTCATTCTGTAGCTGTAGATCTGGAGGTGGTGAATTATGTATGACTGCACCAGTGAATTTTCACAGATTTCTCACAGTGAAATCCACTTAACCACCTCTGCCACCCCACCCACCATCCGCCGCCCGCTCTGTCTCTTATGGAGGATACACTTGTTTGGATTCAGATTTTACGGGAATATTAAAGTTTAAACGATGAAATACCTGTGATAAAATAAGAAATTAAATGTAAATAATGAGAATTGTTCAGACTGAACATTAAATTTTGCAAATTTTGTGACTTTTCAAAGTCAAAGTACATAAAAACAGGCAAGGTAAGTTTATTTGTGGAGCACATTTCATTCACAAAGATAATTCGAAGTGCTTTACATAAATAAAAACAAAGCATAAACAACACGAAAAGCATACACAGGAAAATAAAGCCATAAAGCACTTGTTTTTGATGTTTTCATGAACAATGTTGGTCTGAAGTGAACCATGTATTAATCTTCCATTCTCCCTCTCTGTTCCTCTCTCTCTCTCCTCTCTCTCACTGTTCCTCTCTCTCTCCTCTCTCTCCTCTCTCTCTCTCTCTCTATTCCCCTCTCTCTCTCTCTCTCTCTCTCTCTCTCTCTCAGTTGCCGATCGTGGCCTCCTCTATGATCTCTCTGTATTTTTTGGAGCTGACCGATGTTCTCCAGCCGGCTAAAGTGGGGTTCCGTTGTTTTGACCGTTCTCTCAGTATGCCGTACGTGGAGACGGGTGATGAGCTCATCCCGCTGCTCATGCTGCTCAGCCTGGCCTTCGCTGGCCCAGCCGCTTCGGTCAGTAGCTAAAAACGCACACTTTCATCGCACTTCACACTCTCACACTAACTCCTTCTAAATAAGTCCTTCTAAATGCTGCTTGTCTTTTATTCTGTTTATCTTTAAGCTGATTAAATTTGATTAATTTCCTATAATAAACGATAGTGAGTCTTACCTTTTTGTAATGAACAGTTTTGTCTCCTGTTTTGAAATGCATGACTTCAACTGTATGTGCACTCCTGCTGGTGTGGGTTTCCTCACACTCAAATATGCAGAAAGAATGCTATTTATAGCAGCCCTGTATTATTAATAATAATCTGTATGATCATGTAGAAAATTGTACATCTGTACCTGAACATTAAAGTATAAACCTTTTACACGTTTTCCGCAGTTTATATAATGATTTGTTCCACTTATTGAGATTCATCTGCTCAAAAATTTGACATACAGCCCTGTTTAATATGAGTGTGTGAATAGTAACCCAGTTTTTCAGCTCTCATTCTTTTGCACTCATCTGCTGTTTTACTTGATAAGCCAGGTATAAGAACTCTTCAGACAGGCTTACTCTCAGAATGTCTCACTTCGGTGTGTCTGAGGCTAATTTTAGCGCGCTAGGTGTTTAAAGAAGAGAGTGAGGGAAGCGTAGCCTCGGGCAGCTGGAGTGTAAAGTGAGTAACCTGTGATGTTTGTGCGTCTCAGATCATGCTGGGTGAGGCTTTGATGTACTGCATGCAGTCCCGGCTGAAGGCCCGGCCCGGCTGCGAGGCCAGCATCAACGCCGGCGGCTGCAACTTCAACTCATTCTTACGCAGGACTGTCAGATTCGTTGGTAAGCTCGGCTCTTTCATACACTTTTAGCTGCTTGAAACTGCATTTCACCTGTCTTGCATAATGTAAAGCCTTGTGGAGCTTGTTTGGTAATCACCTGCAACCAGCTTATCTTTGTGAAACATTTTTTTTTTAAATAGCCAATTGTAGCATCAATATCAGGTTATTTCCTCTTCCCTTCATATAGGATATTAGATGCAGAATTTAGCATCAAAAACAAATCTCAGGTGGGTTTATGTAGCTAAAACTACAGTATGTTTGGTTTTGTAGTTTTATACTGTGGCATGCGCCCGTCCCCTGGGCCCTGATAACGGCTGCGAGAGCTGGCAGAAAGGTGAGGCCCGAACTCTGATCCCAGACAAAACCCCGCAGAGACAGAAGGGAGAGGATGATATACCTAAGTGAGTGGGGGATGGCACGCAAGTCCCAAGCCCCACCTCCTGGGCACCGCCTCCAGTCCCGCAGCAAGGCTACTTCAATTTGCCTCATGTTCGACCCCGGCGGCTGAGATGCGGAGCGGGGGCGGTAACAGGGAGGCAGAGCAACAAGCTCTCATTCCCTCTCGGGTGCTTGGCCATCCAGGTCAAATGTTAGGCAAACCAAAGTGGCCTAGCTGCGGGACCGTATGTGTTGCCCAGGAGGTGGGGCACCGGACTTTCACGCCATCCCCCACTCCGGGGGGGATCGTTTGGGCTCAAAGTTCGGGCTCCGGCTTCCTGCTGGCTCATGAGGCCATCCCTGGGGCCCTGGGGACGAGCACATGCCACATGTACATATTACAAAAACTAGCTACTAGTAGCTGTTTGGTATAATTGAGAGTAACTCATGCAACACAAATAAGGACAGGAATAGTACAGCTACATAACTTACTAGTTACCTGGCTAACAAGCAACACAGCTGAACTAATTGTTTAACAGTACAAGTGACATGTAGCTAATAAACTGGACACTCAGTATATGGGAGAGTAAGGTCCATTTTAGAACAGCTTCCTACTGAATGTGTCACAGTGTCCTCTGTCTCTCTCTCTCTGTAGGTGTCCATGTGTTTGGTCTGTGTGCCACTGCTCTGGTTACAGATGTTATTCAGCTCTCCACCGGCTACCACACTCCGTTCTTCCTTACTGTTTGCAAACCCAATTACACGTTGCCTGGTGTGGCCTGTGATATAAACCCGTATATCACCCAGGACATCTGCTCAGGACGAGACCAGTACGCCATCCTGTCCGCCAGGTACACACACACAGTCACTATACGCCATCCTGTCCGCCAGGTACACACGCACAGTAACTATACGCCATCCTGTCCGCCAGGTACACACGCACAGTCACTATACGCCATCCTGTCCGCCAGGTACACACGCACAGTAACTATACGCCATCCTGTCCGCCAGGTACACACGCACAGTCACTATACGCCATCCTGTCCGCCAGGTACACACACACAGTCACTATACGCCATCCTGTCCGCCAGGTACACACACACAGTCACTATACGCACAGTAAACGCCATCCTGTCCGCCAGGTACACACGCACAGTCACTATACGCCATCCTGTCCGCCAGGTACACACGCACAGTCACTATACGCCATCCTGTCCGCCAGGTACACACACACAGTCACTATACGCCATCCTGTCCGCCAGGTACACACACAGTCACTATACGCCATCCTGTCCGCCAGGTACACACACAGTCACTATACGCCATCCTGTCCGCCAGGTACACACGCACAGTCACTATACGCCATCCTGTCCGCCAGGTACACACACAGTCACTATACGCCATCCTGTCCGCCAGATACACACACACAGTCACTATACGCCATCCTGTCCGCCAGGTACACACGCACAGTCACTATACGCCATCCTGTCCGCCAGGTACACACACACAGTCACTATACGCCATCCTGTCCGCCAGGTACACACACAGTCACTATACGCCATCCTGTCCGCCAGGTACACACACAGTCACTATACGCCATCCTGTCCGCCAGGTACACACACAGTCACTATACGCCATCCTGTCCGCCAGGTACACACGCACAGTCACTATACGCCATCCTGTCCGCCAGGTACACACGCACAGTCACTATACGCCATCCTGTCCGCCAGGTACACACGCACAGTCACTATACGCCATCCTGTCCGCCAGGTACACACGCACAGTCACTATACGCCATCCTGTCCGCCAGGTACACACACACAGTCACTATACGCCATCCTGTCCGCCAGGTACACACACACAGTCACTATACGCCATCCTGTCCGCCAGGTACACACACAGTCACTATACGCCATCCTGTCCGCCAGGTACACACACAGTCACTATACGCCATCCTGTCCGCCAGGTACACACACACAGTCACTATACGCCATCCTGTCCGCCAGGTACACACACAGTCACTATACGCCATCCTGTCCGCCAGGTACACACACAGTCACTATACGCCATCCTGTCCGCCAGGTACACACACACAGTCACTATACGCCATCCTGTCCACCAGGTACACACAGTCACTATACGCCATCCTGTCCGCCAGGTACACACACAGTCACTATACGCCATCCTGTCCGCCAGATACACACACACAGTCACTATACGCCATCCTGTCCACCAGGTACACACAGTCACTATACACCATCCTGTCCACCAGGTACACACACAGTCACTATACGCCATCCTGTCCGCCAGGTACACACAGTCACTATACGCCACCCCTTTCAATTAAACAGACTGTTTTTGTTACTGTCCCTTTAAGACTGATATTTGTAAAGAGCTCTGTTCTGAGTGGCTGCCCTGTATTTTGCCTTATTCAAAAATAAATCAGGGCTGAAACACTTCTTATAACTTCAGTGTGAGTGGGTGGGGCTAAACTGCTGAGGCTAAACAGCCAGATATTTGTTTTTGTGACATCACAAAAGTGGTAAATTCGAAATGGATTGTTTTTGCAACTTAGTTTCCATATACGGACTGTTTAGATTTTGGGATATGTTTTGAAACTTTTATCACGTTTGCATACTACTATGGGAGGCAAATCCAGCCAAAAAAGAAATTAAAATTAAAACCATAAAATGAAAATGCAAACCTCTTTTTGCCATTTCTTTTTCCAAACATCTGCGCAAATATCCTGCCAAAATTGAAAATGAAATGAAATGCCTTCATTTGCAATTTCATTTTTCACATGAGCGCGAGCCATTTGTGACAAAAATAAAAATAAATGTAAAACACCTATTTTTCATTTCATTTTAGTCGTAATTCTGGTTTTTCATGGCCAAATCTAAAATGAAAAAGCTGATAGAGAAAAGAAAATCCAAGCTTCACTTTGGCTTTTGGCTTCTCTATGAAATGCAGAATACGAGTCAAAACTAAAACCAAAATGCAGCGTTTACATTCTTATTTCTTCTTCACAGCAATCGGCTGCAGATCTGACAAAATGAAAATGAAAATGCAAAACTGATAAATCAACAGCAAAGTGACAGTTTGTGATTCAGTTTTCGGCGTCGACGCGCTTTAAGTGTCAGAATGAAAAGGCAAATGCAAACGAACATCAGCGCCACCTGCTGGACATTTACTTTACATTTTCCACTTTTCGATTTCGTTTTCAAATTGACCAACATGCAAATATATGTTAATTAGCACTAGGCGGGGCTACGGGGTACATTTTGGGACATCCTCAGACCTCCGAGTCAGAACGGCATCATTCCTCAAGCTAAACGACTTCGAGTCTCGAGAAAAACCATCGTCATGTCTCAGATCTGGTGAAACTGAACGTCAGCACAAACACCATCAGAAAAAAACTGGAAATGTTATACTGGCATTTATATCGAGATACATAATAGTTATACAAACCACTATGTGCTCAACCAGGCCTGCGTTTGATCTGACACCTTTTCTCTGAGGCCGTTTGGTCTGACAGCATTTGGTCTGACGTTCAGTTTCACCAGAGTCACAACGATGGTTTTTCTCGAGACTCGAAGTCGTTTAGCTTGAGGAATGATGCCGTTTTGACTCGGAGGTCTGAGGATGTCCCAAAATGTACCCCGTAGCCCCGCCCAGTGCTAATTAACATATATTTGCATGTTGGTCAGTTTGAAAACGAAATCGAAAAGTGGAAAATGTAAAGTAAATGTCCAGCAGGTGGCGCTGATGTTCGTTTGCATTTGCCTTTTAATTTTGACACTTAAAGCGCGTCGACACCAAAAACTGAATCACAAACCGTCACTTTGCTGTTGATTTATCAGTTTTGCATTTTCATTTTCATTTTGTCAGATCTGCAGCCGATTGCTGTGAAGAAGAAATAAGAATGTAAACGCTGCATTTTGGTTTTAGTTTTGACTCGTATTCTGCATTTCATGGAGAAGCCAAAAGCCAAAGTGAAGCTTGGATTTTCTTTTCTCTATCAGCTTTTTCATTTTAGATTTGGCCATGAAAAACCAGAATTACGACTAAAATGAAATGAAAAATAGGTGTTTTACATTTATTTTTATTTTTGTCACAAATGGCTCGCGCTCATGTGAAAAATGAAATTGCAAATGAAGGCATTTCATTTCATTTTCAATTTTGGCAGGATATTTGCGCAGATGTTTGGAAAAAGAAATGGCAAAAGAGGTTTGCATTTTCATTTTATGGTTTTAATTTTAATTTCTTTTTTGGCTGGATTTGCCTCCTATATACTACAACATCAAACTCTTTTATTTTAAAAAAAAGGGAAAAAATGTAGTTTTGATGATGTTATGGATCCTTTGTTATCTTTACTTAACATTACTGCTAGCTGATGTTAGCTTAAGATTTCTGACTGCTAGATAGCTTCATAATTTTGATGCTAAAAGGTACTAAAACATACTAAAGCTTACTAAACAAAGGATCTTTCTGATTGATCTTTTAAAGTGAATTCGAAAGATTTTTATTTATCATGAGTTTAATTTTTAAATTAAAAAAAAAAAACTTTTAATGTCACAACTGCAACATAACGTTAAAAAGTTTTTTAGCCACGCCCCTGCATTTCAGAGCAGGAAGTGGGGCTGCATCCCTGTCCCTCATGGCCACATGGTGAGCAGGTAGATCCCATTGTTTTGAAGTAAATGTGTCCCAAAGTCTGAAAATCAGTGTGGAACATTAAGAATCATCATATTTTCTGCAGTTCAGCACTTTTTAGTGTTTAAGTGAAAAAATGATGATTTTCTGTGTGAACAGCTGTTCAGAGCTGTGTTTGCTGGTCATGAACTGGCTGAGTTTCTGAGCTCAAAATGACCTAAAATTGTCACTGAAACAGTCACAACTGACACATTTGGAAAAGTTTGGTAGAGTTATGGTTGTTTCGGCAGTGATGAAATGTTCAATCATTAGTTTTAATAAAACGATCATAATTGAGGTTTAGAGTCACTCAGAGCAAAAGGATTTTAGTCTAAAGTCCAAGATCAGTTAAAATCCCACGTGTTTCAGCTCTGACTTCAGCAGAAAGACCCAAACACTTCAAATATACTACCGATGTTCTTTTTCACAGAGGTAGTCATTCATGTAGACACTGTTGTTCCTCTTTCTCCCTCTTTTCCTCCTCTGGGCTCTGGTTTTACATGAAACTCTAACAGTCTCAAACTCAGATTCAGTGCTGGGATGTTTGTTTTATTTTCATGTTTCACTGAAACACCTTCCTCTCTCTCTCTCTCTCTCTCTCCCTCTGTTTCTCTGATCAGGAAAACTTTCCCCTCCCAGCATGCAACGCTCTCCGGCTTCGCAGCTGTCTACATATCCGTAAGCATTCTTCTAGATTTCCCTCCGGCACCGGCAGCGAGACATGCGAACAAACCCTCTGTTATTTTTTTATCTGAACTCAGACAAGTGTTGATACTGACATAGCAGCACTGCGTTACAGCATCTGTCTGAATCCTCCACAGCGCCGATCTAATGTACACAATGCCTTTCTTATCCCGCAAGAAGTCGATCAGCCGAGACACATTTGGTGTCGTTAGTTTTAGCAGTGGAGCTACGCAGCTAATGTAGATAACAAGTAATAGAAGCATGTATTTCACCAATTAGCAATATTAACAATATTTAGACACAAAGACAACATATCAAATGTTGAAACTGAGAAATTTTATTGTTTTTGAAAAATATTTGCCCATTTTGAATTTGATGCCAGCAGCACATTCCAAAAAAGTTGGGACGGGGGCCTGTTTACCACTGTGTTTCATCACCTCTTCTTTAACAACACTCTGTAAGTGTTTGGGAACTGAGGAGACACTGCTGTAGTTTAGAAACTGAAATGTTTCCTGTTCTTGTTTGATACAGGATTTCAGCTGCTCAGACAGTTCAGAGTCTCCTTTGTTGTAATTTTCACTTCATAATGCGCCAAATGTTTTCAGTGGTGACAGGTCTGGACTGCAGGCAGGTCAGTTTAGCACCTGGACTCTTTTAATACAGAACGATGCTGCTGTAATACATGCAGAACGTTGTTTGACATTGTCTTGCTGAAATAATCAAGGCCTTCCCTGAAAAAGACGTTGTCTGGATGGCAGCATATGTTGCCAAAACATGTATATATCATTCAGCATTAATGGTGCCTTCACAGATGAGCACGTCACCCATGCCATGTGCACTAATGCCCCCCTAAACCATCATGAATACTGGCTTTTGAACTGTGCACTGATAACAAGCTGAGTGGTCTTTAGCCCGGAGGACACAGCGTCCATGATTTCCAAAACGAATTTCAAATGTTGATTCGTCAGAACACAGGACACTTTTCCACTTCCCTCTCAGTCCATTTTAAATGAGCTCAGGCCCAGAGAAGCTGGCAGCATTTCTGGATCCTGTTTATATTTGGTTTCTTCTTTGCGTTTTAGAGTTTTAATTAGCATTTGTGGATGCAGTGATGAACAGTGTTCACAGACAGTGGTTTTCAGAAGTGTTTCTGAAATTTTCTTTGCTATTTTACATTGAGAAACGTTATTCTTGAATTGTTGCACTATTTGATCGTGCAGTCTTTCACAGAGTGGTGAACCCCTCCTCATCTTTACTTCTGAGAGACTCATTTTATACCCAATCATGTTACTGACCTGTTGTCAATTAACCACCAGGTGTTTTTTTTAGCATTACACAACTTTACCAGTCTTTTGCTGCCCCCGTCCCAACTTTTTTGGAATGTGTTGTTGGCATCAAATTCAAAATGGGCAAATATTTTTATATGTTGTCTTTCTACTATTTTCAATGAAATTAGATTTAAACTGAACTATTACATCTAATGTTATGAGGTTGTTTCAGCAGTTAGCTGTTCCATTTGAAGTCTGTCTGAAAAGTCAAACGTTCTCTTGAATGCTGTATTAAGTGAGCAGCTCTAGCTAAGAATAAGAATGTAGAACGTATTACTGTATTTCAGACAGAGTGCTGGTTTTCTAGTATACAGTCAGTCTGTTGACCCCCAACCCCCAGCACACAGCCTCCCCGCTTACCCCTGCATAACGAGCTCCTCGTTAGTCAGCTTCAGTTAGCTCTGCCTCGTTGACCTCAGTGTAAGAACCCAACTGTTAATTAAGACACCAGCCTCATCTTCATCTTTAATTGACACAGATGAGCAGATGTGGCACATCAGGACTGTGTCAGTGAGCAGTCGTCTCTCAGAGTGAAGACTAGAAAGCTGGTTCACGAAGGATCTAATGTAAACGATGCAAATGACACTGTACGCTACCATTCAACAGTCTGAAATATACAGTATGTATTAGACCTGGGCCACAGTATTAAACACGCACGGTAACGTTGTTGTTACAGGAGATGTTGTAGAGATGCAGATTATCTCTGCTTTACAAGCTCTGCTCACATGGTCATTTTTCTCTGGATCAGATTTGCAGGTTGGCTCTCACATTGGCTGTGTTTACATGCTGGTCAATCTAATTGAATACATTCTGATTATAGGTTAAGACTGAGGTGTTTATTCTCACTCTACTCAACAATCTGATGGAAGATCTCCGTTTACATGAGCACTGCAAGTAATCAGAAACTGAATGACGCGCATGCGTAGAGAACCGCTTAGAGTGTAGACGTTACCATGACAGCGAGCATCACGTGAGTCCAGTCAGAGTGAGATGAGCAGCAGTGAGCAGCGCTTGTGTTTTTAACTGCTTTAAAATGATGTCAGACTCAGGAAAACGTCCTTCACATGTCCTTATTAAAGAAGGCCGAGAGGAGGACGTCGTGTTCTGAGACACATAAGCTGGACGTCTGTCCCACCGCCGTCTTTTAAAGATCAGAGCAGAAACTTCGTCTCCTCTGCAGACCAGTTTCTGCTCCGCCATGTTGAACGGTATAAACTTTCACTATGACGCGACGAACATGATCAGAATGGACTTAAACTTTCCGATAGGGAATGTAATCAGATACAGGCGTTTACACTGACATTATTCTTCTATTTAACGGATTATTTACAGGATTACCCAACTCGTTCAGTTGGAGAGAAACTGTATTCAGAATGGACTCAATCAGACTAGACCGTTCCGATTGAGGTGTTTACATGGACGAATTCTATTCCGATGGAGCTATTAGTCAGATTATTATCGGATTATTAGGCTGCATGTAAACATGTTTATTTAGAAGTTCCGAAATTTTTTCCACCCAAATGTAAGTACCATGAACTGTTCTCACCAAAATACCCCACACAAACTTTGCTCAGTGTGGTAGTTCAGAGGCGTTTGGCAATTTTAGGCTGCAGTTTGAGGAGCAGATGTTGGTATAAAACTTGTAGTGCTCTGTAGCATTAACTCGTTAGCTTGATGCTAATTTAACATAGGGAGAAGCCATTGGGGAGCTAGTAGAAATGATCATCATCAAAGTGGTGGACGAAGAAAGGCTGTTTAGAACGTACAGACTTCTACACTGAGGTTCCACAAAGGTTCGAATTATTGTTTTTATCATTAAACCACTGAATTCCAGTGATGTTAGCTAAGCTAATGTTATACAGTCCTAGCGCAGGACTGAACAGGGACATGGGAAGGTGTTTTAACCCCTTGAATGGCCAGTGCCCCCCATTTCATTACACACTTCTATAACCTAAGAATAACTCAGCCAGTTTGCATCAAAGTCCGTGTAGTTACTGAATAATAAGCTGTAGTATGTAATAAGCCCGAGATTTTAAGGAGTTAAGTTTGGGGTGCTGAAATTTAAGCAGTAGATATGTGACGTGAATTTAGTGACGTCACACAAAATTATTTGCCTTTTTTCTTTCTTTTCTTTTAATTTGGTTTGATAATTTACATCAACCAGTGCGTGTCCTGACTGACGTATCATAAAAAAGTGGCGAGAGACGACAATATAAACAGATAACCGACACATCAAACTGCTGATGCTCACCCTAACTCCTCTGGATAAACCTTTGTGCAAAAGAATAAAGTGACATACAATCAGATTGTTGTTGTGTGGTGTGGTAACCAACTGTGTCACTCGAACAGTTACACACTTGAACCCACACCAGCAGGAGATATAACAAAAAACGAATTTATTAAAAGCATTTTGGGGATCAGAAATGGCCTAAAGCTCTGCACACACTGTCCCTCCTTGCATCTCAAGCTGAATGTGTTTTAGTGCCGCAGCCCAAAGCGGCCAGCAGGGGGCGAGAGAATTTGGATCACTGTAGTGAAAATAAATTGTTAAACAGTGCAGCTACTGCAGGCTTTTAAAATATACAAATAAAAATATAAACATAAAAAATTTCAGTTCCCTATTTATTTTTCAGAAGCTTCATATTTTGTCAACCTTTTAGGCCCCAACAGAAAACACTCTTATTTAGGACGGTTTTAAACTAGATATTATATCATAAAACCAGAAGAAAATGGCGATTACTTAACGACGGATGTGATTTTAGGCTATGAAATATCACGTCATACCCACGTAACGTTCACTGATGGTTAAACACAGGTTTATTATTGAAAGCAATACTTGCAAACTTATAAACTGTGGTGTTTTTGTTGTATCATTTCATCTTATATGTTGTCAGCATGATCTTTTACACAGTGTCTATCTGTAGAACTATTTCATTATAAATTCTGGTGCTGCAGCTTTCGCCCACTCACAGCTGTTTCTGCCATTTATTCTGACCGAGGATTGTGGGTGAGTGAAGGTCTGGAAGGATCCACCAGCCAAGTCCTTCAGATTTTCAGTTTGCGTTTGTCTGCCGCTTTCAAAGTGTCTCACAGAACGAGACGACCTTGTGATGTGATGTAACGGCCGACCGCAGCCGCGAGTCAGACATCCGTTGTGAGCAGAGGCAGGTGTGGGGAAGGAAAAATCCAAAATGAGATCCAACATCTCAGTATAGGGGGGCATATAACGCTCTTATTAGGCCTAAAAATGTGAATAGCTGGTAACAAAATCATCAGCTCTATAACTGCTGATTAACTGGCTGCTAAGTGTTACTTTATTTAGTGATAATTATAGATTACACATTTCCAGAGTGCTTGTATTTGTGTATTATACAGTGGAGGAAATAAGTATTTGATCCCCCACTGATTTTGAAAGTTTGTACTCTGACAAATAATTAAACAGTCTATGATTTTTATGGTAGCTTCATTTTAACAGGGAGAGATGGAATATCAAAAAGAAAATCTAGAAAATTAAATAATATTTAAATAAAAAATAATTTGCATTTCATTGAGGGAAATAAGTATTTGATCCCCTAAAAACCATGACTAATGTTGGCTCCCACAGACCACTGACACACCCTAATCTCAGTGAAGTCGTTACCTGCATGAGAGACACCTGTCCCAAATTGTCACCTGTATAAAAGGCCACCTGCCAACAGACTCAGTGACACTCCAACATCTCCACCATGGGCAAGACTAAAGAGCTGTCTAAAGATGTCAGGGACAGAAACTGTTGACCTATACAAGGCTGGAATGGGCTACAAAGCCATAAGTAAGAAGCTGGATGAGAAGGTGACAACTGTTGGTGCAATTATTCGGAAGTGGAAGAAGTACAACATTACTGTCAATCAACCTAGGCCTGGAGCTCCATGCAAGATATCACCTCGTGGAGTCTCAGAAAGGCTAAAAATCAGCCAAGAACTACACGGGAGGAGCTGGTTAATGATCTCAAGGCAGCTGGGACCACAGTCTCCAAAAAAACCATTGGTAATGCACTGAGACGTAATGGTTTAAAATCCTGCAGTGCACGCCAGGTTCCTCTGCTCAAGAAGGCTCACGTCCAGGCCCACCTCAAGTTTGCCAATGAACATATTAATGACTCCAAGAGAGACTGGGAGAAGGTGCTGTGGTCAGGTGAGACCAAAATTGAGCTCTTTGGCCTCAACTCAACTCGACGTGTTTGGAGGAAGAAAAACACAGAATATGACCCTAAGAACACCATCCCCACCGTCAAGCATGGTGGTGGAAGTATTATGTTTTGGGCACAGGCCAACTTCACCGCATCGACGGGAAGATGAACGGGGCCATGTATCGCAAAATCCTGGGTGACAACCTCCTTGCCTCCGCCAGGGCACTGAAAATGGGTCGTGGATGGGTCTTCCAGCACAACAACGACCCAAAACATACAGCCAAGGAAACAAAGGAGTGGCTCCATAAGAAGCATATCAAGGTCATGGAATGGCCTAGCCAGTCTCCTGACCTCAATCCCATAGAAAATCTATGGAGAGAGCTGAAGCTTCGCGTTTCCAAATGCATGCCTAAAAACCTTAAGGATTTGGAGATGATCTGCAGAGAGGAGTGGCCCAAAATTACTCCTGAAGTGCAAACCTTATAAAAGACTACAAGAAACGTCTGACTGCTGTGCTTGCCAACAAGGGTTTTGCCACCAAGTATTAAATGATGTTTTACTAGGGGGTCAAATATTTACTTCCTTCAATGAAATTCAAATTAATTTTTATTTCTCATTTCATGTGATTTTCTCAGTTTTTCTTTTGATATTCTATGTGTCACTGTTAAAATAAAGCTGGCATGAAATTATGAGACGTTTCATTTATTTTTTTTGTATTAAAACTTTTAAAGTCAGTGGGGGATCAAATACTTATTTCCTCCACTGTATATCATAATCTTTTGCATAAAACTTGTCTATTATAATGACCTTATCAGTGCAACGCAATGCACAACACTATAGTTGCCAGACAGTATGTTCTTTTTCTTCTTCTTCCTCTTCGTCATATTTTTCTGCCACATTTTGTCTGTAACTCGTCCTGCAGTTTGTGAGAAATCGGTACCGTTCCAACTCCAGAATGTTTGCTTCATCAGGAATGGATCAGCAACGGTGTGCTTGCGTACAGGTTTTTGGACGTGCAATTTTTGTACAACTCTCAACAAATGGCCGATAGGAAATGAATGGTAAAAGTGAATGTGCATTACACTTACAGAACAATAATAGCAGCACACTAGCAACCATCTGGGACACCCTCGCAACCATCTAGCAACACCCTAGCAACCACTTGAAATACCATAGCAACCACATAGCAACACGCTAGCAATCATCTGGGACACCATCACAACCATCTTGCAACACCCTAGCAACCACTTGAAATACCATAGCAACCACATGGCAATACGCTAGCAACCATCTGGGATACCATCGCAACCATCTGGCAACACCCTAGCAACCACTTGAAATAGCATAGCAACCACATAGCAACACGCTAGCAACCATCTGGGACACCATCGCAACCATCTGGCAACACCCTAGCAACCACTTGAAATACCATAGCAACCACATAGCAACACGCTAGCAACCATCTGGGATACCATCGCAACCATCTGGCAACAAACTAGCAACCACTTGAAACACCCCAGCTTGCGTCTTTATGGAATACTATAGTAAATGTCTAGCAACATCCTAGCAATCAGCTGGGATGCCATAGCAATCACCTAACAACACCCTAGTAATCACCTGGGACACCATAGCAACCACCTCAGATACCATATATTGCACTATATGGGGAGCAGGGAGAGATTCAGTCTCAGTCTAGCAGGTTAGGTATTAACCGTGTTAATAAGCACACATCATTCGAATGTGTATAGAACTATGAACATTCAAAGAACCCTCTGCATGATTAATGGGTTCTTTGCATCATGAAAGGGTTCTTCAGATTTGTAGAGAATGTGCTGTAGATGAATGAAAATTAATAAATAAAATTATGAACGTTGAAAATTAGCATAATAGCTCGCCTTTAAAGTACACAGCTGGACCTTAAAAGCACTGTTGGACGTTTGCGGGTGCTTTTACAGCGTTTCTGCCTTTAGGAGTGAGAAACGTACCTGTACAGTATCTTTATTCTGACAGTGAGGTTTTGCTGATAGAGAGTGGAGGTGCTCTCAGTGCAGTAACCGTGTTTCCTCCTCTGTCCTGCAGATGTATTTTAACTCCACCATCTCAGACAGCACTAAGCTGCTGAAGCCTGTACTGGTGTTTGCCTTCGCTATCGCAGCCGCCCTGGCCAGCCTGACGCAGATCACGCAGTACCGCAGCCACCCCATCGACGTCTACGTGGGCTTCGTCATCGGAGCCGGAATCGCCGTGTATCTGGTACGACACCCACCTAGACAACCACAGCTCTGATTACAGTAGCTCTCCTTTTACAGGCCTTCTGCTTAACCAGCTAAGTGAAGGACACCAAAGTACTAGATCATTATTTTGTGTAGCAGGATGGTAAGTTCCAAACTACATCACAGTGCTGTTTAATTATCTGGGGTAAAAGGTACCAGTGAGGTGAAATTGCACGTTTTGCTCATTTTCTGTGTGAAAACAAGTCAACACATCCAGTTAGCAGTTTCATGCAAATGTTGATGCACAGTGATTTTACTAAGTGATCTCACTGTGTTGGTAGATCTTTTTGCTTATTTTAAGAAACATGCTTGAAACAAGCAACATTAACTGCCACTATCATGAGATACTTTCACTAGAAATAATGTAAATTAATCTTATAATATTCCCAAAATGAGAAATATTAGATACTTAGACAAGATTTAAGATGATTTCACTTGCTAAGATGTTATTTCTTGCACTGTATGACACACTGTTATCTATAAACATGGACTACACTGCAAAAAATAAGACCTTAGTGAGTGTAAACATCTAAAATGTATTCAATAAATCTACTATTTCTCATTATGAGACAGTTGTAAGAATATTGTGAGATTATTTAACTTATTTCTCGATATTTTAACTAAATAAAGCAGGTTTATCTTATAAAAGTCTCTTATTTCATTGTCAGATCATGTTACTTGTTTTAATCATCATTTCCTGAAATGAGCAAAATTATCTTCATTATTTGCACAGTTTCTATTTACTTACTGAGTTTAATACATTGGAAAAAATAAATAAATAAAGCAAAACGTGGATAACTGGCATGGCTGGCAGCAGACGGGTGGCTTGTGTGCAGCTGTGGTTAGCCAATGAGCTAACATAGCAGTTATCTAGTTGGCTTACACACCAACCATAAACAGTAAAACTACAGAAGATACACTGAAAAGGTATATTAGCAAGTGAAAACATCTTAAATGTAGTCAGTAAATCTAATATTTCTCATTATGAGTCGGTTGTGAGAATATTATAAGATTATTCCACCTGTTTCTGTACATTTTTACTTGTTTTAAGTGATTTTATCTGGTGAAAGTGTCTTATTCCATTGGCAGATTAGTTTACTCGTTTTGAAAAATAATGAAGATAATTTTGCTCATTTCAAGAAATAATGATTAAAACAAGAAACATGATCTGCCAATGAAATAAGACACTTTTATAAAATAAAACCGTTTAAAACCAAGTAAAAACATCTAGAAATAAGTTAAATAATCTCACAATATTCTTACAACAGTCTCATAATGAGAAATAGTAGATAAATAGACTACATTTAAGATGTTTATACTTGCTGAAATATCATTTCTTGCAGTGTAATTATACAGTCTCCTGACAGACTGTGTATCATACAGTCTCTAACGGGTTTATTTATAGTCAGTGGGGAAGAAATGTTTAAAACTTTGTGCTTTTACGCTGCTAAAATTAAAGCTTTCTAAATTTTGGATCCTCGGTGCTGCTTGATGAAGCCCCACCCCTTAAAAGGTCAACGTAGCCATTATTGCAGAAACGTTATGGGTTAAAGATGTTAATTTACATGTCAAAGTTCCCCAAAGTTAAACTCGAACACACAATTTCACATGCAAGGTTTATTTGCTTCTGAAGTTTGGAACGTGAAATCGCAAATTCCATTCAAACGAGTGCAATTTCGCTTAATTTCACTCAAATCATCACACAATCGCCTCAGACTGTGTGGAGTCAGTCAGTAATCTCTAATAGACTCTATTACATTGTTTATCACTGCAAAAAAAATCTTAAGTGATTTTACTAAGTGATCTCACTGTGTTGGTAGATCTTTTTGCTTATTTTAAGAAACATGCTTAAAAACAAGCAACATTAACTGCCACTATCATGAGATATTTTTACTAGAAATAATGTAAATTAATCTTATAATATTCCCAAAATGAGAAATATTAGATACTTGATTTCACTTGCTAAGATGTTATTTCTTGCACTGTATGACACACTGTTACCTATAAACATCGACTACACTGCAAAAAATAAGATCTTAGTGAGTGTAAACATCTAAAATGTATTCAATAAATCTACTATTTCTCATTATGAGACTGTCGTAAGAATATTGTGAGATTATTTAACTTATTTCTCGATATTTTAACTAAATAAAGCAGTTTTATCTTATAAAAGTCTCTTATTTCATTGTCAGATCATGTTACTTGTTTTAATCCTAATTTCCTGAAATGAGCAAAATTATCTTCATTAATTCTCTAAACAAGTAAACTAATCTGCCAATGGAATAAGACACTTTCACCAGATAAAATCACTTAAAACAAGTAAAAATGTACAGAAACAGGTGGAATAATCTTATAAAATTCTGACAACAGCCTCATAATGAGAGATATTAGATTTCTTAACTACATTTGAGATGTTTTCACTTGTTAAGATATTATTTTTTGCACTGTTATCTCTAAACATGGACTAAAGTATATGAGCATAGCTGAAAACAGTAGCAGCTGCCATCCAGAAGCCTGACTTTTGTCCATATGTTCATCCAGCCAATTCTATTAGACATGACTTTGACACAGTTTGAGGCAACCCAGTTAGCAAAATTTGTCTGACCCACGTGTGGACCACATTCCTGTGTTTGTTCTGGTCCAGTGTACGGGCTGGGTCCTTGACCCAGATCTGGCCCGCATACTGCATAAGTCAGTAGAACTAATGGATGTGGCCCAAATCTGGCCCAACTACATTGTTGATCCACATTCATGCCAGAGTTGGTCCACAAACAAAGTTGTCCAGGATCTGGCCCACATGCCCAACATCTGCCCAGTAGTCAACCAACACTCACGTAGGAAAGCTGGAATTGACCCAGAATGGTCTGCTGTCAGGGAAGTGTGTGATGATCTAGGCATGCAGTTAGCACCATGCTAATTGGTAGCTACATTAGCCCTGTAGCTCCAGTGCAAACCTCAGACACTAAGCATGTCTCAGCTGCGTTTGGGGGAAGAGGTAAAGTGTGAAATTGTGACTTTTTTCCCTTAAAGTTTTCTGTTTTAACGCTGTTTTAGCGGTATGGATGCGGATCTGTGCCCACGGTTCCCCAACCGTTTCGTTCATCTTTTTGGTTCTAATTACTGCTGATGTGGTTGAGTCTCTGGCCTGCCTGCTGAGATTCTGGGTCAGACGCTCAGCCTCAGATTTATTTCTGCCTTTTCTCGCTGTGTTTTCTAAGCCATCTACTGCAGCTCTATATATAGGATTCTGTTCTGTTACAGAGAGAAATCTTCCCCGACTCGCCGGGAACAATTTCACAGCTCTTTTCTCTCTCTCTCTCTCTCTCTCTCTCTCTCGCTCTCTCTCTCTCTCTCTCTCTCTATCGCTCTTTCACACAATCTCGCTTTCTCTCTTTTTTTATCTCTGTCATTTCTTCACTCAGACACCTTTCTGTGACATGTTGTTATTTCTTCTTCCCAGAATGCACTATCGTGGATAGATTCATAGATAGACTCCTGCTTGTGTTTGAGTTGGAAATGAATTCTTGGAAGTGTCAGACGGTGTAACAGTTAGAGTGCAGGTGATCGTGAATAACACCGTCTTCTGCCTTCATGTCTGAGTTAATACTCTTGTTTTGCTTTTGGATGCTGTTCAAATCTAATCACATAATTCTCTATTAATTACGTGGTTCAGAGAGTGAACATTTACATTTGATTTACATGTTGAATCCACACACTTGTGGCTTTGTTCATTTGTTTCAAGGTCAAAAACTTTATAGTAAAAATGTATAGTAATTTTATAGAAATAGAAATTGTTTTTTTATAATTCCTGATTATGCAGTGATCAATCTTAAGACCTAGTGTTGTGTCTACGCTGAATTGTTCAATAACTACTTTTAATTATTCAAAAACTACTATCAAATTTTAGTATCTACTATGAATTATTCAGTATCTGCTATGAATTATTCAGTACCTACTATGAATTATTCAGTATCTACTATGAATTATTCATTATCTACTATGAATTATTCAGTATCTGCTATGAATTATTCAGTATCTGCTATGAATTATTCAGTACCTACTATGAATTATTCAGTATCTACTATGAATTATTCAGTATCTACTATGAATAATTCATTAACTACTACAAATCATTAAGTATCTACTCTAATTTATTCAGTGTCAGTTATGAATTATTTGCTTTTATTAGCCAAGGCCTGTTTTGTTTATTTATTTGTATATATTTTAATACTCACTTTAAAGTTAGTAGTTCATCCTGCTGTAACTTACTAATTTCCTGCCAGTCTTACCTGTTGTGTTATCTATTGTGTTATAGGCTCTGTACGCTGTTGGAAACTTCAAGCCATCTGATGACTCTCCTCCTCGGCCGGTGAAGCAGCAGGTCCGCCCGCCGAGGAAGGACGCCCTGCGCGCTCTGACCCAGCGCGGTCACGACTCCGTCTACCAGAAAGCCCACACGTCCGAGAGTAACGACGAGCTGGCCATGGCTCCGCCCCACGTGGCGGGTCTGAACCGAAAGGTGCGGCGAGAGAAGGCATCTATGGGCAGTCTGAAGAGAGCGAGCGCAGACGTGGAGCTCCTGGCCCCCCGCAGCCCGATGGCCAAAGAAACCATGCTGACCTTCAGCAACACACTGCCTAGAGCCAGCGCTAACGCCGCAGAGGAACCAGCCCAGCGTCACATGACCTTCCATGTAGGGCTGGACAATATGTCCAAAAGTCTTCTCACTAATAGAAGTAATGCTTATACATAACATTCAGAATCAATAGTGGTGGATCATCAAAACTCACCTTTGCAGTAATTGCAATAATGCTAATTTCTGCTAGCGCCCACATGGGGTTTCTAGTGGTATGTTAGCACTAAGCTAATGCTGGAGGACTTGAATATTTTATTCATTGTTCTAGATCAGAGGTCACTAATAGGCGGACCGCGGTACGGGTCCGGACCCAGACGTCGCCCTATCCGGACCCGGGCCTATAATCGATAAACTATTGAGAATTATTTCATTTTGACGGAGTATTTCTATTAGACAGCAGCACCTTTCTAGCATTTACGGTACGGATTTAGCGGCCCCGGACACTCACACACCAATCGCGTGCGTTATAAAAATCACTTGAGACGCTACTCATCCAATCAGATCTGTGCCTTACGATGAGCGCGGCGACTCGAGTGAGTGACGCGCACACAGGGGAGATAAGAGTCGAGATAAGAGTCGAGTGAGAGGAAAGCCAGTTAAAATGGCGTGATCTAAAAAAGTGGTAGGGGAGTGGGTGGGGGGGGATACAAGAGTCAAAGAAAGAGAAAAGATGGTGTTGAAGCGGTTCAGCTGTTAGGATGTGAGACGGTTTATTATAAATTGGTTCATATTGTTAAGATGTGAAACTGAGTTAACAAAAATGATGAAAAAGTGCAACTCAAACTACACTTCCTACTTTTTCTAAAATTAAGCTGCACATTTTTTCAAAAGTTTTATTTTTTATTTTTTAAATGCAGCCCTTGTTTTTACCTGAAGTGAGAAAAGAACATTTATTTGGAGTATTTGTTATTGTTCCAGTTCAGTGTGAAAACTGACAGTAAATATTGTTAAAATATAATTAAATTGTACTTTTATTTGATTTGACATTCAGTTGCTAACTACTGATTTGCTGCTGATATAACTACTAGGCCAATTCAATATATATTTTATGCCACTGAATCATAGTTGTGATGTTCCGGACCTTTGCTTGAGGCAATTTTCTTTAACTGGACCTTTTTGAATTTTAATTGAATACCCCCGTTCTAGATTAAACACAGACATCTAAAGCTTGTAACAAACATTCATATATTGTCGCTGTTGAAGAAAAACATGTTTCTCCATTGTATTTTATTTTTCTGCAGCATTTGAACATGGCAGCTGTTCTTTACATTGCATGAAAATGTAATGTTGAATGGACCAATAGACATGCTCTAAAATTACTCAGAGTAAAACTCTTTTTACATTAATTTACATTAAAGTTAAGAATGTTTTTGCCTTCTGCTGAACAGTAACTATTCTGGAGATACTTGTTTCTCGTTGGACAGCGACAACATATCTGAGCTTGTATGTGTCAGTTTTTCAGTGACTCTTTCAGTGAAGAGCTCTGACATAGAGCTGCTGCTGCTGTTTTACATTCCTAACAACTGACCAAAACACTGCTTATACTACAGGTCATATTCACAGACAGGTGCATATCTAGGACTTCTAGAACGTTTTTGGTCCCATTGTAAATCAGAGCGTGATTAGTTGGTTCCTCTGTCACTTCCTAATTATGTTGGTAGTGAATATAATGTGTAAGGCCTTCAGTCCAGCTCCTGAAGTCCTAACCAATAGGAGTGCAGCTCAGCTGTATCTAACTAGATGCCACAGAGAAAACAATCCTGAATGGACAATTTTCCACTAAGCGTTTCAAGATTTTAACTCATTTGTTTTGATCTAAACCTTAACAGTGAAATAAGAGTATTATTGACTTTTTTGGGGTTCCAGAGATCATTAGGTCTTCTCTTGAGGGCTCCTGGCTGATATGTACCTGCTCATATCTCCAAAACAGTGGCTTTGTTCAAATAAAAACTGCTTTAAACATCTCTGATTAAAAGAATGCATAACTTTTCACGTAGGTAAACGGTACAGTAACGGAAATGATCTACACAGTTAAAAGAAAAAATGACATTAAAAGGTTTTCTTACAACAGCAACCTACACCTAGCAACTCCTGATTCACAGTCTGAATAGTGTTTACAAACACTGAAAAAACAAGAGGCTCATTTTGGTCTAGCATATAAAAATAGATATACATTAGATATACAAAGTGAACTTTTTATTTAATACAGAAAACTGAGTATATACACAAGTAGCTAGCCAGCTTTAATCTCCAGCTGCTGTTGCAAGAGAATAGTTAGACTTCTTCAGTCCCCCCCAGTCACGTACAAGACACACAACACAATATAGTGTGGCAAGGAGCAACTGTTCAGAGTTTAAGCTCTTGCTGCTAATACTGAATGGGATAATCATTTTATCACAAAATACTTAAAGTTTCAAAATTATTATAAGTGGAAAAGATGATGTAGATTAACTGTTTTTATCATTTTATCATCCAGGCCTACTTCCATGCTCCTGTGGATCCACAGCGCTCCAAGCAACTGGTGTCAGAGTGGAAGCAGAAGTCTGTGGAGATGCGGAGTCTTAGCCTGAGGGATGACGACGAGCAGGGCAGCGCCGTGGACGAAGCAGAGGAAGAAACGGAAGCCGAATCCAAGGAAGAGCTGGACATGGGCGCAGCGTCTTCTTCCCTGTACTCAGCCATGCAAGCCAGTAGAGGGGCAACAGCAGCACCACCAGGAGGCACCAAAGTGACAATGCCACAGAGGCCTGGTGCTCCACAGCTGGTTCACATCCCAGAGGAAGCCTCCAGACCTCCACCAGTGTCTCCGAAGAGCGCCACCACCAGGGCCAAGTGGCTGTCCATGACGGAGAAAGGATTACCGGTGCCTGCAGCCACTCCAGAGCCGCCGAGGCTTCCTAACCAGCCGAGGATTGTCCAGGTTGTTGCCATGGCCAAGCAGCAGGCCAGCCAGATCACTGCGGTCAACATATCGAAGTCTTCTGAAACAGCCTCATCCTGCGGTACGTCCAGCACGGGATCCGAGTCACCGTACTATCGGGACGGCTCCAGCATTGTTACGGTAGACGCTCATGCGCCTCATCACCCGGTGGTGCGACTGTCTTCCACAGGTGGAAACACCTGGGACTGGAGGAGCAGCACCAACGGGAGCACCGAGATCCATGAGACCAGCCGTACGTTGCCCCGGCAGGATTACCGGCCGATCAAAATGGACGAGTCCAGCCAGGGTCCGCTTCCACCCCCACCACATCCGGACCTGTTGCTGGACAGCCACAGCCACCGCAAATCCTCAATTTCAGCCAAGGAATGGGAGCCAGGGCAGCCCCATCCAGAGCCAGACCACTTCTTCAAGAACTTACAGACTGACCGGCGGTTTAAGGACGGAGGCCTATAGAGTGGAATGGTGGACAAAACTCTTTTTTTCTATCTCTATTAATTGGGAATACAGTGTTGTGAGTTTGGGAGATGGGAGAAGGAAGACTGCTCTCGACCATCTGGGGTGGATCAGATGGAGGTTTGTAGAGCAGAACTGGAGACGAAACTCTTGTTTTCTACAGCACAGTGGTCACCAACCCTGTTTCTGAAGATCTGCTTGCCTGCAAGGTTTAAGCTCCAGTCTTTATCCACCACACCTGATCCAACCAATACAGTATATATACAGTTTATATCACCGTACCTACATTTATAGTCGGTTATTCATTCAGCCTAATGAGAAACTCTAGAACAGACTCGGTTTATATCACAATACCTACATTTAGAGTCGGTTATTCATTCAGCCTAATGAGAAACTCTAGAACAGACTCGGTTTATATCACAATACCTACATTTAGAGTCGGTTGTTCATTCAGCCTAATGAGAAACTGTAGAACAGACTCGGTTTATATCACAATACCTACATTTAGAGTCGGTTATTCATTCAGCCTAACGAGAAACTGTAGAACAGACTCAGTTTATATCACAATACCTACATTTAGTCAGTTATTCATTCAGCCTAACGAGAAACTGTAGAACAGACTCGGTTTATATCACAATACCTACATTTAGAGTCAGTTATTCATTCAGCCTAACGAGAAACTGTAGAACAGACTCAGTTTATATCACAATACCTACATTTAGAGTCGGTTATTCATTCAGCCTAACGAGAAACTGTAGAACAGACTCAGTTTATATCACAATACCTACATTTAGAGTCGGTTATTCATTCAGCCTAACGAGAAACTGTAGAACAGACTCAGTTTATATCACAATACCTACATTTAGAGTCGGTTATTCATTCAGCCTAACGAGAAACTGTAGAACAGACTCAGTTTATATCACAATACCTACATTTAGAGTCGGTTATTCATTCAGCCTAACGAGAAACTGTAGAACAGACTCAGTTTATATCACAATACCTACATTTAGAGTCGGTTATTCATTCAGCCTAACGAGAAACTGTAGAACAGACTCAGTTTATATCACAATACCTACATTTAGAGTCGGTTATTCATTCAGCCTAACGAGAAACTGTAGAACAGACTCAGTTTATATCACAATACCTACATTTAGAGTCGGTTATTCATTCAGCCTAACGAGAAACTGTAGAACAGACTCAGTTTATATCACAATACCTACATTTAGAGTCGGTTATTCATTCAGCCTAACGAGAAACTGTAGAACAGACTCAGTTTATATCACAATACCTACATTTAGAGTCGGTTATTCATTCAGCCTAATGAGAAACTGTAGAACAGACTCAGTTTATATCACAATACCTACATTTAGAGTCGGTTATTCATTCAGCCTAACGAGAAACTGTAGAACAGACTCAGTTTATATCACAATACCTACATTTAGAGTCGGTTATTCATTCAGCCTAACGAGAAACTGTAGAACAGACTCAGTTTATATCACAATACCTACATTTAGAGTCGGTTATTCATTCAGCCTAACGAGAAACTGTAGAACAGACTCAGTTTATATCACAATACCTACATTTAGTCGGTTATTCATTCAGCGTGAGTCGTGTTCCACTAGTTTATCATTGGGCTGAATGGGATTTTTGCCAGGTTTATCTGATCTCACATCAGTGTGAAAGAACACGTTTGCCTGCAGACGTCAATTAGCTAATTAGTTGTATCAGGTGTTTCACAGCGGGAAAACATAAACTGTGCAGGACGGGGTTCTTTATCAGGGTTGGTGGTCACTGCTCTAACAGGTGGGTTCGGTGTGAGTACAGTCGTGTTTGTCAGTGAAGCTGAGGGAAACGAAGGCGGCTCTTGGCCGTCTCATACGGAGCATCTGGAGTGGATCAGAGCGCAGCAGAGCCAGCAGGCGAGCACAGACGCCGAGGGAACAGCAAAGACTGAGCACAATCTGGAACGAAAGCTTCAAATCTGACCAGCGAGAAGGAGCTTGTCATGAATTCTCGCTCGAGTGGAACATAAACCAAACTAAACCAAACACAGATATCAGGAGGTTCCGCTCACTACCGTTCAACAGATTGACAGCGCAGAGGCACTTGCTGATCCACACCAAGGAGCCACTTTGATATTTTGGTGACTTCACTGCAGGGCAGTGTTCAGAAGGCTGCATGGTGCCTATAAGCCTGTCATAGACCTACATAAACACTTATAAACCCTGATTCCAACAGACGTCATTTGTCATAAAGGTTGCGTTTGCAAACTTTGCTGTCAAGCTGACATAATATCTCATTCAGGTGACTTTCTTCTGTTTTCTGACATAAAGTGGTGTCATAATACTTTCTAGTGACATTATAGATGATAGAGCTCAGATGTCAGGCTGGTTGAACAAAAGTGAGCATTTTCTGTTGCCCTCAAATGAATTTAGTTTACATGAATAAGATTTAAGCAGCATTATGTTCCTGCAGTGTACATTAAGCTACAAAGTCAGTTGTGACAATGTTTCACCCTAAAAAGTGTCATGATGCAACTTAATATCAGGAAAAACTGATGTCTCCTCAAACTTGACCAAAGCAGCCTTGACTGCAAAAATGATATCTTTACAAGTGTAAACATCTTAAATGTAGTGAATAAATCTAATATCTCTCATTATGAGTCTGTTGTAAGAATATTATAAGATTATTCCACCTGTTTCTGTACATTTTTACTTGTTTTAAGTGATTTTATCTGGTGAAAGTGTCTTATTCCATTGGCAGATTAGTTTACTTGTTTTGAGAAATAATGAAGATAATTTTGCTCATTTCAAAAAATAATTTTTAAAACAAGTAACATGATCTGCCAATGAAATAAGACACTTTTATAAGATAAAACTGCTTAAAAACAAGTAAAAATGTTAAAGTTAAATAATCATAAAATTCTTACAAACGTCTCATAATGAGAAATATTAGATATACTGACTGCATTTAAGATGTTTACACTCACTAAGATCTCATTTTTTGCTGTGTTTATGACAGACGACACTGTTGGAATAAGCATTTATAAATGTTTATGTGGGTCAAAGTCAGTTGTCCTAATGAGCTTAGGTAGGTGTCGTGTAGCCTTATGAACGCTTACCTACAGTAAAGTGTTAGCGATACATTTTAAAAGCATAGTTCACAGAAAATACGTTTACACCCACCCACCACCCCCACTCTGAATGTAGACAATCAACCAACATCCACAATTTTTCTCACGTAGTTTTTTTTTCCTGTTTTCAAAAAATCTTCTTAAGCGTTCACACAAGAACGCAGGTTCGACTCAAACACACTCCCATGACCGTTCCAGCCCAGTCGACACAAACATTTTACGTCAGACACCTAAAGAAGAGCTGTGTCAGCGTGCATATTGCACAAAATATAGAACAGACGATCAGTAGGCTTTACATGCAGGCCGCTCAAAATCTGAATGACCTGAATTACAAAGTCTGATTCCTGCCAGAAAATAAAAGCTTAAAAACGTGAAAGAACAGCTACTGCTTGCTGCAGTGGTTAACACTGCGCTGAGCCAACTGAGCCAGCTGAGCTTTTTACTCCATTTCAATTATGGAGTTTGAAGTAGATTTCTTTCCAAATCTGACTTTGGTTAATATTCATCAAGCCACAAAGAGCATCTTCAGAACAACTGATGTGTTTTAATATTTGACTCCCCATTTAAAAGAACTGAATAGCATGAATACATTTGAGCAGAGCCTTAACTTTTGCGTAAAACTGTTTATTTTTAAATTTTATTTGCCTGATATAGTATTTAAAACTATAATACTATACTTAATATAGATACTATTTGACATTTCCTCAAATATGTTTTTGATTCCGTATTTTTTGACACAGATTTTGACACAATACATAAACTTTTATTTAACTACAGTTTCTGTGTTCTATTAACTTTAAACCTCACCAGATATCGTCATGGAAATCTAGCTCCTTGCACACCTGAATTTTGTCCACTTTAGTCCATGTTTATAGATAACATCGTACAAGTCTATTAGATATTACTCAAAGAGGAAATCCACCAATTTTTCAAAATTCCTGCATGATTAAATGGTTAAGATGTAAACAGAGTGGTTCGAAGTGGTTTGGTGTGAAACGCTCTGTTCTAGAGAAACTTACAGAGTCAGAACTGTTCACAGTGGTGGTGATAGGAACCAGACGTCCACCTCTAAAAGCTCCCTCACAGAAAGTTACTACATGAAATGGTTATGAATTCACTGCCTGATGACTGAGACACTGTTTTATGATAGTTTTGAGAAGGTTCATAGGACCTGAGATAAAATGGTCCCCAAAAATGTATTATTTCAGATTTTCCGCTATTTTCCATCATCAACATTCCATATAAACTCAGAAGACTCGTGTAGGTTCACTGGTGGTTCTGGCTAGTAAATAAAATGTCTATATTTGTGTTGTAGTCATGGCGACCCCTGGTTCCTTTCACCACCACTGTAAAGAAACCTGAACCTTTCCACACCAAACCACTCTGAATCATGTTTACATCTCAAACACTGAATTATCAGGAAATTTTGAAAATTTGCTGAATTCCTGTTTAAAAACTTGGCTGATCAACTGCATTTTGGGGAAGGGGAGGGTGGGGATGGTGTAAATTCATTTTTTTGCTGAACTGTCGCTTTGATACCTGATTAAACTCCTTTGCTAACATGTTTCTAACTTTTCTGTCTGTCATTGTGCCATAGACTTTCATTCATGCGTGGAGATCTGTTGTTTATTCACAGAGACTTTTCCACAGAGGTGCCGAGAAGCGAGCACCGTTTTTTCAGTGACTCTTTAACGGGCCGTCGGGTTCCGAATCTGACTCTTTTTATACTTAACCAGTGAGTACTGTTGCTTGTCTGTGCGTGTGTTGCATGTGCGTTTATTTATGTGTGTGCTAAACTGTGAACGGACTGTTAATATATCAGCAGGAAAAGCTTCTTTCGTATCGCTGAGTGTTGTTGAGCTTTTGGTAACAAAATAAAATTGTTATGATACTAACTTTCCTTTGGTTCAGTAGTTTTTAATGAATTGAAATACATAATGATGCTTTAATTTATTTTGGATTTTAAAAAAAGCATGACATTTAATATGGATTGACAAACATTAGTTATACAGTGATGACCCATTATATACACACGTACACCCATTCACACTTAGCAACCACCTGGGATACCATCGCAACACCTTAGCAAGCACCTGTGATAGCATAGCAATGGCGTAGCAGGTAAAGTGTGTATAATCACTAAATAAATTAATCAGCAAATAAATTAAATCAATTAATCAGCAACACCTTAGCAGCCATCTGGGATAGCAACGGCCTAACAACACCATAGCAACCACCTGGGAT